TGTTCTGAAAACTATTACTGAGTGCATACTATCAGAGCGTACTTCTGTTCAGACCACGTGCTAGTCCTGCTGTTCAGAGGTTATTCTTCTAGAGTGTGGGTGTTACAAGCCTCAAGTGAACTCTTAAAGCATGTTTGAAATACGATCATTGATCATATTTCAAGTGATCATACCTGATGATACCTGTTCCATCTTCCTTACAGAATGATTCTATCAATCAGCAGCTTGCATCCATCTTCACCCACTGCTACGGCAACAGTCCTATACCTAGCATTCCTGAAATCCGAAAGACACTACCAGCTCGGCTAGGTGAGATGGTCACCTAAACAATGAGCTTCTTGTGATTTTTTTTTTTTTTCCAAAGCAGCCACAGTTTAAAAATATATATATGTTTTTTCTTACGCTAACAGATCCTCACTTTCTAAACAACAAAGAAATGTCCGATGTAACTTTCTTAGTAGAAGGAAAGCTGTTTTATGCACACAAAGTCCTGCTCGTTACTGCATCCAACAGGTGAGTCACTTTCCACAGCTAAGTACAGATTGCTAAGGAACGTTTAGTCCATTTGTGAGACTAGCTCTCAATCGCTCATAGTTGCGGTACAGCTGCTGCTAAGGATAAGGACTATGGACTGTGATTTAGCTTTGCAGGATCAAGCCACATCTTTGCTCAGGTTAAGAACAGTAGGAGAGTAAGGACTGGCTAGAAGAAAGTATCTTAGTATGTGTTAGAGATACGCAGGGCTGTACTGACATAAACCAACCGCTAATTTTCCCCCAAAACTTGTGCAGTAGTTAGAGTGCATATATCCAGCTGGTCACTGTTTCTCCATTCCCGTGTGTGATGCTCCTGCGTGTGTGATGATAGCTAGAGCTAGGCTTGCTCCAGAATTCCTGCAGACTGCATCCCTGACCTGGTACACTTGCAGTTATTTAGTTGCTTTCTCTGAAATTAGCAAGTTAACAGTGTTTTGCAACTATTATAACGTGGGACTGAATCAGACGCCGGCAATTTACAGGTCAAGTTGTCCGTGAAGGTCCAAACTAACTGCCACTGGATAAGAAAGAAATGTTTTGATCGTCAGCTATAAATTACGAACACAAAGAAGGATCTTAATTTTCTCCTTGCTTGAGCTGTTTGTCGATAGGTTATAAGGATTTGAATACTATTACAGCAATCTGTTAACACAAATGTATTAAAACCATTCTCAGGTTTAAGACCCTAATGACCAATAAAACAGAACAAGACAGCCAAGGCAGCAAGACTGTTGAAATTAGTGATATGAAATACAGTATCTTCAAGGTATGCAACTTATTCCACCTTTTCTTTACTCTTTTCATCCTCTCACATACTGTGGAAGCTAAGACGGCCAGGGCTTACTATCAGAGATAACTTACAAGTAGAGATTTGACTCTCTTTTAGCAGTATTCTGATCTGTATCAAAGCTTTTCAGCTAGGAACAATCTTGGAACAAAAAAAACTCCAGCCAATGTTTTTATTTTCTTACTAGGGCAATTGACTCTCCCGCAAAGCGGGACAAGTCAGTCTTTTAGTGAATGTAGTTTTGTACTTTTAAAGGGTTGATAGGCACAATTTTCATGCTGTGTTAAGCAAAAAACGTAAGCCTAGTTAGAGCAACAGGACTGCCAAGCTCCATATTAATTCAAATCACATGATCAGAAATTGATGGAGTCTCTTTCAAGAAGGGCTTGAAATTGCGAATTTCACTTTGCTTTTATGACATTTCTGTATTTAATGGACCTAAGGGAGATTCATTCATGATGGAGAGAAAGTAGGGTACTTAACACACAACCAAAGAAAAAAGAAACAAGTCAGTGAAATGTGATAGTTAAAAGTAGTTCCAGCTTTCTAGCTCTGCATTTCAAATTAGAAAGAAAGGTACAGAACAGGGAAATCTGAAAGTGCAGAAAAGCCAAAAGGTTGTGTAACCGTTTCACTACAGGGTTGAGGATTTTCCTCTTTTTTCCTCCTTCTACGATGTATACAGAGCTGTTTGTTTGTCAGCAGTAGTGTCCCCTCTTCTAGAAGGGGTGAAGCTGGCCACAGGAATATCTTTGCTGTCTTGGAAAGGGGCTGCAAGAGTTTTGTGCTGTACAGACGGCATCCAAACTCTGCAGCTCAGACTACAACCATTAAAAAAAAGGGGGAGGGCAATTAAAAAGATTAAAAATTCAAGCCTCCTTAACAAAATTTTTTACATCAAAAGGTTTCTGAAGATAGGCTTTTGTTTAACTAGAGGCAGCAACGAATCAAAAAGATTGAAAACAGTAACGCTTTCATAGAGTGAGACAATTTGATGTTAAATAAAATGAGGCGAGTTAAGGTGGTTATAGTGTTCTATAGTAATCTCAGGCTGCACTGAACTGGACCGCTAGAGATCTTTGTTCTGCTTAGGGATATGCTGAAAGTAGCTTTGCTACTCTACGCTTCCATTATAGAAATGAGAAAATTTTAAAAATAGAAGCTTAGTTTTGTTACCCCTGTTGTTAGAGGGGGTAAGCACAGCATGCAGGCTCCACACCTGTTTATGCAGTACCCAGGACACTGGGATGACCTGTTTTTCAGCACTAAATTTAGCCATTCCCAAGATAAGACAGTAGTGGTTTTG